ATTGAAATTTCATTTCCCTATTTTCGATTTAAAAAAATTGAATCGAAAAAAAAAGATCAACGAAGTAAAATGATCCACATAAATTGTTAATAATAATTTTCGACAAGATTTCTCTCCCAAACATTCCAAAAACAACTTCCAAAAATTTACCATTCAAATTTCATTCGCAAAACTGCGCAACAATTCCACTGGAAGTTTGCAAAGTATCATTAAATCCTCAACGGATTCCTTTTCGTCCGTCATGTAGCTCGAGCTCAACTAGTTCAGAGGTAAATGTTGTACATTATAATGATATAAACCTGGCTAGTGGGATAGCCAAAAGCAAGCACGGAAACCGCAATATTTCCTCAAGCATCCGGTTAGCTGATCCAACAATATGGATATCATCAAAGATAAAGAGAACAAATTGTTATAATATCGTCGATCAAATTTTTTGAATGGTGATACAATCTTGACGAAACGATCTTCTTGCTCTATTATATATCGAAGAAAAGAAGGGAAGAAACAATGTTGCCATCGGTTACCCGATATCTCGTACGAAAGCTCGTCGACTTGTCCCCGATATTTTCGTTGGAAATTCGAAACGAAGCCTCGTGACACGGCTGTGTATCGGGGAACGTTGGCTTCGAATGACAGACAGCGTAAGCCGAAAGGAAAGTTTCGGAGAGACGGGAGAGACAATCTCGAAGACCGAATTTTCTGACGTTTAATATTCGAAACGATCCATTCTTGACCGATGATCTAATGCAAAATTTATTTTAAGATGTGATCCTTTATTTCACGAGCCTGTAATTTAAATATTCTATCGATTTTCCATATTTTTTTTTCTTTAAAATTGTAATTAAAAAATTAAACCATGATCTGGTAAAAATCATAATTTATAAGAGAATTAATTTTATCTGATTGCTATTTAATTTTTTTAGAAACTTTTAAAATGAAGTTGATCCATTTTTTTCTTCTATGCGAAATATAATAGGAAAATAATATTTATACGGAATGTTGAGCAAATGAAAGAAGAATGGTCTCAATGAAGAGGCAAGAATGGAATCAACCAAAAATCAAATTCAAGAAAAAAAAAGGAAATTCAAATGAGAATCGCATCACATTATTATCAATATCCAATTACTCTGCCAATTACTCTTCATCGACAAACAATCCTCTTCGAACAAAGAATCCCTTTAATACTTGCAAAGCTCACAAACCAGTTGGCAAACATGAGTAACACCCATTCTATCAACACGAGTGTTGAAACTATTGACAGACGCAAGTCACGTATGGTGTGTTTCCCGTCAGTTCTCAATGAACGTTTTCACAGAGAGAGAGAGAGAGAGAGAGAGAGAGAGAGAGAGAGAGAGAGAGAGAGATACCGCGACAAATAGAGAATAAGGGCGAGAAGGTCTAATTTTAAGCGAGAGAAAACATGCACAGAGATCCTCCTGTAAACGAATGAGAACAAGATCCGCGTATTCGTAGCGGCGAATGGTTGGATTCGAGCCTAACAGCCCGTTGACCTTTCAGCACCTGTTGATTGTCGTTTATCAACGATTTGCATGCGCAGATTTGCCGGGATCACCTGACTGCTCGGCGAAACGAAAGGATTGTCCTCGAGGGGCGCGTTGATCGACGTAGCAATCCCTCGAGAATCGTGATGCATCGTTGTCCCGTGGCGTAGCGCCGCTCGAATTTATTGATTTTCGATTCGCGGCCACCACTTCCCGTCTCATCCCTTTGTCTCAGTTTTTGCGTTTCCCTGTTTCGCTCTTTGCATGCTGCGAACGACGAATTGAATTTTTCCGTAATTCGGGATGTAATTAAAACGAAAATTTTAAGAAGAGATTAAAATAAGACAAATTCATGAAAAAATTATTGTCAAATAATTTCAATTGAGGTGAGGGAGTTCGAATTATTATTTGTATTTCGAACGATGGCTTTGGCGATAGTCTTAAAAATTTGATTAGTGTAGAATAATGTTTGAGCGAATATTGGAAGATATTATGATCTAAACTATGGTTTTGAATTGCATATAACTGGGTTAACTGGCGAGAGATGTTAACTGGCGACAAGTGTTCATCGTTTGACTAACGAATGGGGGGATAACAATAGAACGAAGAGAGAAGTTGAGGACGATTAATAGATTCGTTCGGTTGGATACGGAGGGAGATTAATCTCTTTCCTTTGAACGATGGTCCCAATGGTACGGAATTCACTCATGCGATGATGATTTCTCAATGATAAAGATGGATCGGTACAAAGATTAGTTCTATTTTTTTCCTTTGAGATCTGGATTTTAATTATATTTTAAAAAGAATATTTCATTTCGTGTATCGAAATTCGGAAGCCGACAAAGTTTTTAAATTACTCGATCGAAATTATTCTCGAAATTATTCGAGAAGTTTGATATTAATTATCGAAAGCAATAAAATCGTAAAGATGTCTGCTCGAATATTTCAATCGCGTAATTAGAATGATCGTAAAATCATATGCAAATAGAGAAAAAATTTATTTTTTGTGGAGAAGATTGATAAATTGTGGATTTACTGAATTATTTCAAACTCTAGACAAGTGACAAACGCGATTCCTGGGACATAATACACATTTCCAGAAAAAAATGTAGATCAAATCGTGCATCCATTCATAATTTTTACTCTATCTTAAATATTATGCTAAATTTGAGTCCTTATATCTCGATTGAGATACTGGGATGAATCGAAAAGTAATTTCAATGGCATAATTTTCTCTATCTTTTGAATGAATTTCATAAAATTTTAATTTCTTCTCAACAAAAAGTTAAAGTTTTATATTTAATATAAATATTGTATGTACAAATTTAAATTTATTTAATTTCATATTGAAGCAGCATGCAATTAGTTCGCTTATATTAAATTTGATGTTCAATAATTAAATTAAAAAAAATTAAAAAAATTATCTTATGATTTTATCTTTCTGACAAAGGCAGGGATAATTAACGAATAAATTGTTCCCTTTGTTTATCATCGTTTTATGTTTTTACGGACATCAACGCAATAAACTGCAACTGTTTGTACCATTTGGTGGTACAAAACAGTAGAGTGGCAAAGGCTTGAAGCATTCTACGCGATGATACTAAACCAGTATCGTGCCACAAATTGACCGTAAAATGCAGAACACACTCCCAGTGCCAAGAGTTGAATCCAACCGCAAAAAGAGTTGAAATACTCGTCTTCCATCATCGGTCCAACCTTGCTACAATCTCTTCCACAACCGTCGTAATTCGTTTTATCGATACAAACCAGAAACCAGGTAGCTGCGGGATTTCTGGATCCCATAAACGAATTACCTCGTAAAACATAAGAGTCGATGTAAAAAACATTATCAACGATATTTCCCAGACTTTACGACGGTTGTTTCATCGCAACAACCCTTTTGCTCTCCAATGAAATCTGTTTTTTTAGTTTGCTAGATCGAGGGAAAATTCTTTTTTCTTTTTTCTTTTTTTTTTCTATTTTATGAATCTTCTTTTTAAATTATTCTTGTATCAACAATTGATATTGATTTTAAACGGTATTAATCTTTGATGATAGAAATAGTAAGAGAGAAAATTATAACGAGAATATTGTGCGTTACAATAAATTGATTCTTCTGTTAAAAGTCATATTCATATTGTGTTATCTTTAATAATTGGGAAGATTTATAATAAACGAGAGAGAGATGAGAAATTCAATTATATCAAGAATAGATAGATACAAATATTTTATCTCGTTGATTTATATTCGATAAATTTATAATCGCAGGAATTATTCACAATTCGAGTGCATAATTGCAATTGATTAATTAACAAATTTATTTAGATAATGAAACAGATGTATCATCAGTATATATCTCTGATTCTTTCTCATCGATTCTTTTTTAAAAAGAGCATTGAAAAAAATTTTTGAAGTCGAAAGAAATAAAAAAATATTAAAAGCACAAAGTATTAACGCTCAGAGTGGAGAGTAATCTATTTTTCACTTAAAAAAAAAAAAAAAAAAAAAAAAAAAGAACAAAAGAATTGTCTTTTATTTTGTATAAAACAATAATTCAATTTTACTCCTTTAATATATCCTTTTACACATAATACAGTTTTAAATGTTTAAAAGCGGAAATCTCATCTTCGACGACAAAAAGCTGCAAAAAAGTAATTCCCACTCCGACAATGAACCATTTTTATGCATATTTCACCGCGTTCCGCTCTCTTAAAAGTACACTTTCGATCTTTGCGACGCGCTTAACCTTGACGATGAAATATCGTTTGCAAAACGATTCGCAAAACGCCATTTACCCATTTACCCACAAATTCCCCACCCTCGGAGAAGAATAGAAAAATAACGACAGGGTTAAATTATTTATTCTATCGAGCGGTTGTTCGACATGCCGAGTGATATCGTACAATCGTGAAAGGATACAAGGTTAACCGCGGTTTGAAACCAATTGAAACGAAAAGCACGATACCAGGGAGTCGTGTAAATAAATGCAACTTATCTATGCTTCCCCATGCATTTTTGTATCGCAGCATTAAATAAACCCACATCAAAGTGTGTCAAAGTGGCATCTCATCGACGCGGGAATAAGATGTCGAGATGATTTATTGGTATCGTGGTTACGCGTAATAAATTTAACATTTTTTTTCATCCTTTTTCCATTTTTTTTCTCTTTTCTTTTTCCTTTTCCCCCAACGTTTAAAATGTTTGACGAAAATTTTGTAACTTTGATGCGAAAGATTAAATATAATTTTAATCTTTTCAATTAAAATTTCTAACTTTATTTGTCATGATTGAACTTTCCAATTTTTATATTTATATTTTGAAACCATTATCGTATTTGTATTGTATTTGTATTTGAAATTTTATTCTTCTAATTTCTTGGAAAATCGTAAAGAAGCATTTCTGAAATTTGAAAACTCTTAAGATCTAGTCAAGAGATTTAATTTCGATGGAAAATTATCTTCTTCACGAATAATCGATTAAGGAATTTTCTGTCAACAGTTGTTCATGATCGATAACTGCGCGGACGATTGGCGGATCGCGATGACCTGGCAGAGGATCGCGCAGATTTCGCTCGAGTTGTTAATCTGTGCGATCCACCCTATCCCAGGGGAGTACTACTTCCTGTGGACGACCAAGCTGGCGAACAAGGGCGGTGACTTCGGCTCGACGTGGGTGCCGTACGACGTCACCCTCTCGCTGCCGATGTTCTTCAGACTCTACCTCATCTGTCGCGTTATGCTGCTCCACTCGAAGCTGTTCACCGACGCGTCGTCGCGCAGCATAGGGGCCTTGAATCGTATTAACTTCAACACCAGATTCGTCCTTAAGACACTGATGACCATCTGCCCGGGCACCGTGTTGCTAGTCTTCATGGTCTCGTTATGGATCATCGCCTCGTGGACGTTACGCCAGTGCGAGAGGTAAGAAATACCTCGATTTACGAAATTAATAAATATTTATGATCAATTTCTACAAAGATTATTATTTTTGCGAATTTTAATGCAATATAAATGACAAAGTATTTTAAACTCGTTAAGTTAAATAATTGGCTTAATAGATATTGAAATGGTAAATTAGTCAAAGAAGAATGACTTTAAATTGTTAATTATGGAACATAAAAAAAGATTTATAGTAAATGAAACAAGTTAATTAATATTGAAAAAAAATCAACATTCCAATATGAATTAAATAAATTCAATAGAACATCTATATCAAATATTTACATAACTTGTTAATAAATAATTTATAATACTCTAAAACTCTAAAACTCTTTACAAAACATTTCTCAAAATGAATTCCAAATATTCAATGAAATAACAAACAAAAGAACCGAATCGAATCATTTTAATCGTTGAAATTAATCCACCAAATAACATAATTAATCATCAAACACGTTGATAAACATTCATCGATGAATTGGCGATACCTGGAAAAGTTATAAGACAAAGCATTTTAACTACACTACGTTAACCATTAATCCATTAAACGAGAGTCAATAACAAGTGCACGAGTTAATTAATTAATAAACAGATCCACTGCACAGTTCAACCATCTATAAATAATGCACGAACATCCCTCGATCTCGTGCGATAAACACGGGGGAAACACGTAGATCCTTGTGGCGAGATCAATGTTCGAAGAGCCGAAGAGAATGGAACGTGGGGGCGGTTGTTAAAACGACAATGAAGGATTTACTGCGGGCGTCGAGATTGCCGGCCCTCCTATAATTAAATTCTCTTGTAAATAGCGGAGCCGATTTAGGGAATCGTAAAGGCCATCGAAACGATCAATCTTCGGGGCCAATATAAGATTCCCGGCCCATCTTTCGCGCGGCCAAGCGCGAAGCCTGCACATTTTTCCCTTTTTCTCCCTCCTTTGCTCCCGACAAAAGCTCTCGTCCGTCTCTCCCTCTTTTTCTCCCTCGCCGATGAATAGACCCCTTCCGCTCCTCCGCCATTAAATAAGATCACCATTCTTTTCTCTTTCTCTCTCTATCTCGGTGTCCATGCGTTAGACGAAAAGAAGGAGTAGGTTTTGCCCACGTATGTATTGTCGAAGCTCTTTTCGAAGTCCACGCCATAAGAGAGAGAGAGAGAGAGAGAGAGAGAGAGAGAGAGAGAGAGAGAGAGAGAGAGAGAGAGAGAGAGACTCTTCCTAATTATCCTTTAGATTAGGATATTTTGAGGATTTATAGCAGTGTGTAAGAGGAAAATTTGTGTGATCGAGAAACTTATCAACAAGTTAAGTTAGATTGGGTTAAAATCTGTTGGAAAAGTCAATTATGAATTTGATTTGTTTAAAGCGAGAATTATATTGAATAAAACTTTCTATTTAAGTTAAATTGAATTTTTCTTAAAAAAAACAATTGAAATTGGAAAATGTTATGATCCCAAGGAAATACGATAGATTATGTATATTTATATTTATTAAGTTTTTCTTAGAAGAGAAATTAAACAACATTTTCTAACCATCGCTATCATTCGACTACTTATTCCTTCATTTCCGCTTGTTCCGTTTCCCCAAAGCCCCAGTTTCTCTCGAAATTAGAATTTTAGACACGAGTTCGAACGTGCGCTCTCTCGAGGGAAAGGAATGCTTCCCTCGAGAGCAAGCGATTCGCGTGTGAAGAGAACTCAATCGGAAACTCCCGGCACCTCCTTATTTCCGTGCATGGAGAATAGCGATATATTCGCATTCGTATTTTATCAAGAACGATTTGTAAAATTTCCAAGAACATCGGAGGAAGACACGAACGATTAGATTCGAAATTGATATTCAAATTTTTCAAAATTAAATTATTATTTGATTTCTGTGAAACAAATAAAAGGAATTTTTCTTTGAAATTTCCTTAAAATTATGATAATTAGATATCGTTCTCACTATTTTCGCACATTAAAGATAGAGGGATTGGAACGATTACAATTCTTCAAACGGAAGGTAGATTTTCGAATCTCAAACTACAATATTATCATTTCTTTCCCAGGGTAATCCTTCGTTTCCTCCACCTCGTTTTACGGTATCAACTGTCTTATCTTTACCACCTTTAACGCCCTTCTGCTTTTAACGATGTGAGACGTTACGGCCAATAGCCCACCACCTCTGATTCACCTTTTTCAAGCCTTCGAGGATTATCCCTTTATTTTTTTTTAAGCCGCTAGATTACACGCCTTTATCGTCGTGTTTTTATGGATGATTCTTGACTTTCTCAAATGATATATTATTCCTCGAATAATTTTTATTTTATGAACGAGGTGGCAAGGGGATTTAATATTGTTGGGGGCATTTGATAGCGATATGAAACCGTTAATGCCGAGATATACAAGCAAAAAAGAAATAAAAGGAGTTATCAAAAGTGTCTTTTTCCCTCGAGATTGAAAAAAAAGGAAAAGAAACGTGATAAGATTTAATATTCTGGTATGAAGATTAATGCCAATCAAAAATGTGATTAAGAAAGATTGATTCGTACTCATTTGCATTACAATTCGTTTCACAATTTACAATTGCATTTTATCTTAATAGAGATTCGATTCACGTCCTTAACTTTTTTTGGTAGAAAGTTTCAGAAAGAAGTTTCAACCGTTCAAATTCATTTCCTTTCTCGATTTATCGAGAAGGAAAACTTGGGTCATTTTCGAAAATTCCGACCAGAGTTCCGCCATTTTTCGTGCGATCGTTTCAATTATTTCGAGAGGAAACCGCACTTTCAGCGGAAACACCGCGCGACGTAACTGAATTACAAGCCTTAATACCGACAGCTAATTGAAAAAGGTTGCGCCAATTGATAAAACGAAACGGCCGGAATTACTTTTAATGGCGTTTAAACTCGTTACGTCGAGTAATCTGAAAAAATCGTGGCAGCGAGAATTTGAAAAATTGGAGAAGAAAGAAAAGACATTTGATCCGTTAAACGGAACGGATAGGCTATTACACAGATTGAAAATATATTAGGCTATTGCACATAAAATATCTGTAAGTAAGATAAAATTCAATTGCGAAAATGTGATACGATCGGAACGTTCTCCCTAAACAGATTGAAATTATTAAACTCGACGTTAATTGAATCTTTATTGATTAAATCTTGATTAAGTTTATCCGCATTTCATAAAGACGAACTTAATAATATGATAACTTAATATGATAACACAATTTAATAAAAGCACAATATCTTCTTGTAAACTTTTCCTCCAGCTTTCTACCGTACATAATTATTATTTACTCCTAACAGTAAAAAAACCTGCTTTTATTATTCTCCAATGAAAATGATCCAACGAACAAATTAACGACGATGTACGATAGGACGAACGAACGAAAGGACGAAATTAAAATGCAACGAACTGTGATATATCAAACAGAATCGAGGTATCGAATATCGAGGGCCCGGGAGAATTCGATTCGGACAAAATCAACAGGATCGAGGTTTCTGACGAACTGTAAAAGAGATCTCTCGCCCTAAAAGGAACCTCCTGTAACACTATCAGTACTATGGCGGCTCGATTTAACGAGCAGGATTATTAGTCTGCGCGAGTGTTATTTCAATGTTTCGGCTGGTTTAACGATTTCCGATAATGAATTTCGCGGGCCAGACGTGAAAGAAAGAGTTATTATTCCACGCATTTATTACGAATCCAACGGAATTCAAAGTGAGACAACAACTCGTGGACTCGTTATCGACTTTGCAAATATTCTGTGTGCAAGTTGTGATGTGATTTTGTGCGATCATTTTTTAATCGAAATTTTTGCTCTTGTGATGCAAATTAAACATTGTCTGGATGTAGTTGGATTAAACAATTAACTTGGATTAATTTTATCAATCATTATTCACCGTGTACGAAAATATCGAGGGTATTGATGTTTCTACGAATTATTTAAATGTATCTTGAAATGTGTACAACAAGACAATAAGAGAATATTGCAGAGAGGTTTACAATTTATCAAGCAACTGGAAGAAAGAGATGTAAGAGAAAGTAGATTAAGACCATCTGTGGTCAGACGCTCCTCGCAGTTGTTCTCTTGAGAGACTTTAATAATTATTTTCACGGCTATTATGTTTCTCCTTGTATACAATCTACATTAATTCAACACTTTACACAAGTTGAAAAATATGTTTTTAAAACATCAACTGTCCGTCCATTAACAAAACTTAAAAAATTATTCAAATTCGTTTACTTCTTGTTTAATGAATGAGTTCCAGGACAAATAATTTTCGTTTCTCAGTAAAATTCAAATAAATTGTCATTTAATTATCTTGTCCAAATAAATTCTTATTTAAAGAATTATTAAACGAGTTTTCTCAAAGATTCTTTAATCAAACGCAGGAAGTATTCTGCTCACACTCGGTTAATTACTTTTTAATAAAATCTTGTTAAGAAATTTATAGGCTTACCTATATCTCGATAATAGCCTGTTGGATATCAACTAATATTTTATCCTGTTTTCCGTTGTGCGACGGCAGGTTTCACGACGAGGAGCACGCGAATCTCCTTAATGCTATGTGGCTCATTGCTATCACGTTTCTGAGCGTCGGTTTCGGTGACATCGTGCCCAACACGTATTGCGGTCGAGGTATAGCCGTTTCCACTGGAATAATGGTAAGGTTAAGATGCAACGTTTAATACAGAAATTCTCGCCTGACTTGCATGCACCTTTCGTATTCCTTGGATACGTTCGAAAAGAAAATATTTATTATACATTTTTGTTCCCAAAATCTTTCGCCATTTTATTTTTGAACAATGAAATTAATACGTAGAAATTTTCACTCGATCATTGAGAATATAAATCTTACATCATCGAAAATTCGGAATATTTGGATATCCTGATAATTTTTTGACGTTTCACGATTTTTTGTGTAAATTTGTATTCCTTTGCCAATTTTACCGTATATCGAAAATATCGATATTATTTTTACAAAAACTCGATCCTTCGAATTTAATAGAATTAAAATTTAATTTTGAATCTTTCATGACAATTATGATAGGAAGATAAATCAGTAAATCCTTTCTCCAAATAGATCCGATAGAAAATTCAGTAGGTTTCGACGATACAGAGGGAAAACACGGTATTATTGATCCCAGCATCGCGCCAAGTGTAGTTACGATGCATTCGAAACGACACTTCGTGACAATAAACGCGACACCGGGTCTAATCTCTCCATTGGGAATGCGACTGGTTCCTTATTGTTACTGCACTCCGTGTCCAATACTAATTCACCTATTTCGAAGCCTCGTAACCTGCGAATCGTTAATCAATTTGATCGTTATGGTCAATTTTCCATGAAATTTCCTGTGACAAACGTATCCGTCCGCCAGATAATCCAGAAATGCTTGCATTTATCGCTTTGATTCTCGTAATGGATGATTCTTCCGAATTAATCTGGTCCAAAGACAATTATACAGTTAATCTCTATTCATAGAAAGCAGTATAGCGTTTGGAAAATAATTATCACAATTGATTTTATATGAAATTTAGAAATTTTGATTTCTGATCGGTGACTCTTAAGTGGGTGATGATTTTTAATTGACAATTTTTTAACAAGATTTTGCAATTTTTATTCTGTTTACTATGATTACTATGGTTCCAATATTAACACTGATGGATGTAATCCCTTGATTATTTCAAAAAAGGAATTGCGATTTGAAAAAATTGATTCAGAAGAATTATTTTTTATGAGAATCGACTAAACTTCGATTCTATTTCTATTTCATGACTAATCTTATTCGTATCACATCTGCATTCTCCTGATGCCAAGAAAAATATTAGATTAATCTAATAAAAGTTATATAATATCGTCAATCAGATATAATTCCAAACTGTAAAAAAAAAAATAAATTTAATAAAAATAAAAAAATCTTATTCATGTTTTGAATATCTTATTGAGAAAAACAATTTGGCAAAAATTTTTATCAGAGTACAGAGAGATGAAGATCTCCTTTCGTGACGTAAAATAAACTTGGAAAGTAGCTTCGAACGTGAGACACGTGACATCCGATGAGTCGTGAAATTTCATCCACTTACGTGTGTAAAATCTGTTTCACGAAGAGGTTTTCCTTGGCTCGAGAATCAGTCACTTTGGAAACTTTCTATTGGATAAAAAAAAAAATCTATCGAATGTTACTATTGGCTTTAGTTAGCGAATGGTGACGAAATGCCCGAGGGAAAGACTTTAAAACTTATTTTGAACCTTTTTTTGCACCCGATGAAATTCCGCGATGAAAATACGTCGCCAATTCCGAATAATTTTCTGAGAGTAGTTTTTTTTAATATTGAATATATAGCACTATGAAATTGTCCTGAAAGAAAGAATATAAAAAATTAATATATAATATTTGGAAATTAATTACGGTGAAAGAATAAAGGAAATATAATAATTGGAATTTAATTACGGTGAAAGAATAAAGGAATATATTTAGAAGATTTATATTGGCAAATGATGGAGTAGCATGTTAATTTTCTGAAAAAAATTAATTATCGATGTGAAATAATTATTTATATAATTATACAAATATTTCAAATGACAATTTGTGTAATTTAATTATTATTAAAATAATAAATCGAAAAATAATTATTGAAGCTATCCTTCCAATCTATTTGACACATTCTTACATTTAAATGTTATCAAAAATTTTATTTTACAATAATATTAGAAAGAAAAAACAAATATTCTTCTTCGTCCATTCTTCAGATATTTTAATTTTAATATTTTAATTGATTCATAACAATAATAATAATAAAAATCGATAAAATAGTAATTTAAACAAATTTAAAAGAGGAGGAAAAACATGCATATGTATATATTCTGCTTTTCCTTACCTTATCCCCTATTATTTTTCCTTGAATAGAGGGTACGAAGATTTAGTTAAATTAATTTATAATCATTAGGGATGCTAGTTTCGCAATTAAACGTAGAATGAATAGTTTCCAGTTCACAGGTACGTTTGACGGTGTTTTTAGGGCGCCGGATGCACGGCCTTGCTTGTGGCGGTTGTTTCCCGGAAGCTCGAACTCACCAGGGCGGAGAAGCACGTTCACAACTTTATGATGGATACGCAATTAACGAAAAGGGTAAGACGCAATCTGCTCGTACATCTTGCGTGGGATTGTTCTCCTAGACGTTAAATACGTGTCTCGGTGCTTTCTCCAACGTTGAATAATAATCCGGAAACAAGTCAAGAATGTGTTGGCCGTTATTATCGTTGGCAAGATACAATTGATGTTGTGGCTTCTGTGCCATCGAGCTCGTATTTAACGAAGAAATTAACGTTGAAATTTTATTCGTTATTTGATCGTTTATCTTTTATATTAATTATCCATTCGTTCGTTTATTATTTATTCAATTTAAATTTTTCACTCGTTAAATCTAATTTAATTCATTATTAATTATGAATTATATTGTGATTGTTCGAAGATTTGAAAGAATCCTTTCTGGTACAATAAAATATTCTCCAATGACAATTAATTTCATCTTATCTTATCTTCTGTAGATGATGAACAAGCGACTAGAACAAACGACTCTTGACATTTTCTTCATTAACACTGATCTTAATCGAACTAATATCGTCCGTTATGTTTACTCCATCCTTGTGATGGAAAATTTCGAATAAAAAATGAAAGAATAAGAAATAAATTTGACTTACGATAAAACTGATTACCCTGTATATCATCAATACATCAAATTTATTCTTTTTTATCTTCTTATCCCTTATTCGAAATTCAACGCTAGAATACGATTCGTCGACCAACGATACGAATGCCAACAAGAGAGGCTCGTGTTTCCTACTTGGACGCGAAACGAGCAGCTCGCCTAATGTGTCATTGTCATTTCTGTCCATTCTTGATGGTCAGAACATCACGATCGATCGGCACGCCATACGATGTTCCTCGTACAGGAAATCGCATCTTAAAAGGCAAAGACTGCATTCGACCTTGCTTGCCAGCCATTCGAGAAGATAGACGTGAAAAATGAAGAAGAGAAAGAAAAATGACGGAGGTCAGAAACCAGACCTCTTTTTCGAATAACCTGTATGATCGATCCGCTTTTCTTGAATGGAAGAAGAGGACATTTCGCTTCGTCCATGTCAATATAATCGATGGATTGAACGTTTTCGAGTTTTTGGGGGAGATTTTGAGACCTCTACGAGTTAATATCCCGTTTATGAAGTATTCAATTTCGTTGCAATTAAGAAACAGACGTGTGAACGACAGACGTCAGTGTTTGGCTCTGGATCGAAAATTTTACCGCGATCAATGAATTACAACTAACTTGGCAATAAGGATGGTTACGTGTGTTATGTCTGTCAATTCAGCTGAAAGGAAAATTCACGATTTAAACGAAATTCGTGTTCCAAGTATACGTGGAACCATTGTTTTCACGATAATTCGTTCCTAGATTCGCCATTAGTTGAGATAAATAACTTCTTCAAAACGTTCAAACGATTATTGGACGTTCGAAATTGCCAACCTATTTTATCGCGAATTCGAGAAATTGGAATTCTTGTCCAATTAACGGCGAGTGAAATTGGTTGCAGAAAGTGTACAATGTTTTTTTTACGAGCCTCTATTTTTTTAATTTCGACAGAGATAAAATATATCGGCGGCAACTAAAAATTTAATGAATCTTAATTTCATTCGAATTCCATGATCATTTGAAGCTTCGAAATTGTGTGATATACTATGCGAACGATTAAAAGAATTATGATGTATTAGCTCGTTGTAGTTGCATAAGTAGTACAAGTCAATTGTGGTCGAACATTTAATATAGGTTAAAACCAGTAATTCGACCAATGCTAAAATAAAATTAGAATAAGAGTATAAGAATTAAAATCATTTTTTTCTTTTCTATATTAATTTATGAATTATCAAAATATTTTTGTAGCAATAATTTCCATTCCGTTCATCGATATCTATCGATCTTTCGATAAAAATTTCACAATAAGTATTCACATTGATTCAATTAGGCAATAAAATGAAATGAATGATTATCATTTACGAAATTGAATGGAAATTATTTTGAAAAATGAATATATTTCCCATCTATCATAATCTATCAAAATCGAACACCAAGGCATTAAAGTCATACCTATTCGTCAAACACGAGTAACGAGATCTGTTCTGTTCCAGTTGAAGAACGCTGCAGCGAACGTGTTACGCGAGACGTGGCTAATTTACAAGCACACTCGGCTGGTGAAGCGTGTCAATCCGGGACGTGTTCGAACGCATCAGCGGAAATTTCTATTGGCTATATACGCGTAAGTCGATGTACACGCGACATATTTTGATTGACATTCCCTACATAACAGGGAACGATTATAATCCTCGCGTGCACCAACTTTTCAGGCTGAGGAAAGTCAAAATGGATCAGCGAAAATTAATGGACAATGCCAACACCATCACGGATATGGCCAAGGTATCAGCACGCAAGTAACTTAGAATTCAATTAAACTTCCTTGGACCCGCTTTCGTCGATGAATTCTATCGGTTGCCGGTCTATCACCTTTTGTGCCAACAAATCGAACAAACTCTTCCTTTTCACGATCTCTATCCTCCACTGTGAAAAACATGTTGTTTCCCTCGTAACGATACAATCTATTCCAGCTTGTTGTTCGTTAATCCTCCATTCATGCAACTTTTCAATTGTTCGCTATATCGCGAGTCCTGCGAGTGCCTGTTACTGTGATTCTGATCGCTCAACGTCGTTGAACTCGTTTTTCTCTATTGCATAGACTCGTCGCAAAGCCAATATTTTCGATGCTAAACTTAAAAAGAACAAAAGTTATCTTTTCCATAACATTCGATCGATATTGCTTCATAATTTTAAAATCGATTCACGGATAATGCAATATGAAAAGTTCGCTGATGGAAATCATTTCTAAAATTCGCGAGAAATTAATATTCACCTTAGATTAATTAAAAACAAAATATTATCGACGAATCTATTCTCCTGCGATCTTCAACAATACCAAAATCTCAGAATAATCTTACAATCTAAAAACTTAATAATCATTCCCCAAATAAACACAAAACGTAAATCGTATCAAACACAATCTTCATTATCATAGATCTAGCCTCCTGCATTTTCATATTCAATCCATATATATATATATATTTCTATAACTACGACACAAACTTACTCGCTTAATCGTTCCCCGAACAGACGCAGAACACGGTGTACGAGATCGTGTCAGACATGAGCACGCGTCAGGACGCACTGGAGGAACGTCTGGGGGGCATGGAGGATCGGCTGATGAACTTGGAAGAGAAACTGACCGGGCTGCAGGCTCAGCTCGAGCTGCTGCCCGAGGAGTTGACCAGGTGTCTGGCCCAACACGCCGAGCGTATGGAGCAGAGGCGGAACTTCCTTCACCCCGACACCGCTGTCGCGATGTCGTCGACGGGCGGCGGAGGCGGCGGCGGCGGCGGTGGTGGTGGCGGTGCATCAACCGGGAACAGCCTGACGATGGGCATCTCCGTTTCCGCCCATCACCCTCTGGCCAATCTGTCGAACTCGCTGCCACACTCGAGGAGCGTGCCAAGCGCGCCCAGCACCACGTCCCTTCACCCTTGGCCGGCCAATTCGATCCTGCCGCCAGTCTCGAGTCGTACGCCACACTTGGTGCCCGAAACCGGAAGGCATCACAGTCTGGCACATTCCACGGTGGCCACGACCACGACCTCGCAGTCGGCCACCAGGCTCACCTCGCAATCTGGAATGGGAGGGCTGGGCAACAGTCAGGGGTCGGACACGTCTCCACACAGCTGAGTCTCGTCTTTGCAGCCGCAGCACTCGTATTAAAAAGGGACACGGGACACGTGAACGGTCGTGTCTTTGTGTCCTGAACGACGCTCGCGTACCATCGAGTCCCTTTCGCCGCGATAATTGGTTCTCTAAGTTCTCTCTTTTTGTCTTTCTCTTTCTATATCTCTATCTTTATTTCTGTTTCATTTTCTTTCTCCGTATCAGTGAATCTCTGTCTATCTCTGTCCGATAAACGATAAACTCTCTCGGGGATAGGAAGCTTCTTCGGGTTCATATTCGGGTTCACACCGAATTCGTTGACCAGTGTTCGCGAACTAGTTTAGGTCTCGCATCCGGTTGATGGTAGTTTTAAGGTCGGCCTGGCTGTGATGGTTACGACGTGCATAATTGTTAAATATCTCGTATAATGATATTCATTTTGGTTATCTATTTATAATATGCGCTAAGAGACCTATTTTCGAGAATCCCTTTGTTCAAGTTTCGCGATTTTAACGGCTGATTGTAGCGAGTATAGTATAGACCAGCGGAGAGACCCAGCGGAGAAATTAACGAGTTGTTCCCCAACTCGCAGACTGCCTAAAGCTCAAGAAACGACACCGTGTACGATGTATTAAAACGTTTCGATGTCTGGATCTCTCGTAGCGAATTTAAACAACGATTCTTTTCGAGCGATTTTCACCGAGCCAAATAATCAAGCCTCCCAGCCATCGCCGACCGAATCGACTCGCCTACTTTTATAGCCGCGGATAAAATGAAAGTTTTGCTGTAGCATCAACAACGGGTCCAATCCTCTTCCCGATTGACTGTGTCTTCTTACCGAGTAAAAAAAAAAGAAACAATTAGTAAAAAGGGGAACTCTATGTACACGCGAACAATATATTCAAACACTTATACATACACGCAAACACACACACACACATACATACATAGACACGCACACGTACACATACAGAAGGGAGATCGATCCAATGTTTCCGTGGTGATTAAAAAAAAAAAAAAAAAGAGCGAATACACAATGAACGAACGAGAGGGAGGGACTCACGGACGCGAGCGTCCTCTTCCAAATCGCTGCGAGCTGCTCCCCTGCCCAACTTGCGTGCCTGAAAACTTTTTTCTTAATATTTAAATATATATTCGACACACACACACACACGAACTCCATCTTATCTCTGTATACCTCGTGAATTAAGAAAAAAAAAAAGAAAAAAAAAAAAGAAAAAAAGAGAAAAAATACGAAAGGGAAAAAACAGGTGGAAGAAAGAAGAAGAAAAAAGAAGAAGAAAAGGTATAAGGTGTGTTTTATACGTTACGAGGGAAACGTGCGTGTGGAGAACGTCTCCCCTCGACGAGGACAACAAGAGTGGCTCTTGAGCTGGACGAGCGCACAGAAAAAAAAAAAAAACGTTTTCGAACGCGTTTATAAGGAGATTAAAATATTAATGTTATTAGGAAGAGAGATAATACGCGGCACACTGTGTTCGTTACGCGAATTTTCGTTTCCGCTTCGGATCGCGTGCGAGGGGATGGAAGAGATAGCGTGGAAAATATTTTACGAATATTTTAGAAAACGATATCGACACATTATATCGAATAGATTTTCAAACAACAAATTTTTTTAATCGTACGAGAAATCGTTCCGAACACACACGCTGCTCCACTTATCTCGCTATCTTCTCCTAATCCGCGAACTGATTCTTACTTCGTTTCCTGCTGATAGAGGGAAAAAACATATTTACTATTTTCGGAGCTGTGATTATAATAACGTCGCAAGTTTATTAAGTACAATCACGTGGTGGCGTATCATGGCGTGAAGTTATAATTAATTCATCAACCCTCGTAGAAAATGTATTTATACCCCAAGGGAAAAAACTCTTAAAGAGATATTCTTCATAATGAATTGTTTTATTTCGAGGGAAATATGTTTTCTTGAAATTGGCCATTTATCCCTTCCGATTCACTTCCCTCCCATCCTTATTGTATTATTAATATTAAGTAGATCGCGTATACCATCTCGTGATTGTACCTGGCGATATATAACTTTCTAAAAGACAAGTGAACACGAGAAGGAAAGAGAAAAAAAACTAGGTCGATCAAGTGGATGAAGTTATTCGAGGACAAAGAATTTCACCGCACCCCCCCGAATTACGCTGGACGAGCTTGAGGGGCCATCAACAGAGACCACGAAGCAAACGTCCGGATGGTCTGCATGGAAGGAGAACGCAAAGTGATCTTATCTGCTTTAACGTCCGTAGGTTACATAAGATTATTATATTGTTAGCGTATATCAAGTGTATGGGGTACAAAGGTCGTACCTACGAGAGAGGGAGAAAAAAATTTTTTTTTTTTATAAAACGGTCTACGCACGATGGTGAACACGTGTACGTGTGTATGTGTATGTGTGTGAGTGTGAGCGTACGATGGTCTAATAACCATGGTAAATATTGATTTTATCGAAAATTATTGCCGACGAAAATGATGCAGCTCAAAGGGGATGCGACCCTGTAACTTCGTCTTGTTTCGAAGGGATGTTGTACAGGGAAGTAGTCTTTCTTAAATGAGAGGGAATTTATTTTTCACGATAAAAAAAAGACACGAGAAATATTTGATAAAAAAATTCGACCGTGAAACGATCTTGATCTAACGTAACATCGTACACAAATGAGTTTTTTTTGGTGTAGTTCTCTCTTTTTTTTTTTTTTAAACATTTCTTTTTTTTTTCTTCTTAAACTTTTAAAAACATTGGCGTCAGAAAAATTGTATCAGATGTGTTCAGAAATTTTTCGAAGTGTTCCGGAAAGTATCCAGAAAGTGTTCCATCATCTCTTTTTCGATCGAGAAGAAGATATTAGCAATTTTTCTCGTTAGAGACGAAATAAATTTTTACGAGAAAACGCCAATAATCATGGCGATAAATGTTTTAAAACGTAGATCGAATAACGAAATTAAAATTTTAAATACGTTATTGAAAATTTTTGATTATGGAAATAAATATGTTTCCTTTGAATTGTATTATTTTCGATTCAATATTTTAGAAAATTGATATTTGTAAGATCGTATAATTGGGCTATTCATGCACCCAATGGAAACCATCGCCAGACAGGATTATTTGAACAAAAGTACGACTTGAGAACGAAATTTGTAACGAGACTGAATGAAAAGACACTTGAAACAGGAAGTCGTAAGTTATCTTACAGAAAACCTTCAACATTTCTGTATACTCCATTCCCAAACTTCCGTTTCTCAACCTTTATGCTACGACGTTTTATTATGATTGAACGCATGCATATCCATTCACTGCGAAATTCAATTTAATCCTCGTGCCATTAAAATTTAATGTTCTTCACTGGAAGGATCAACAATGCTATATTTATTATATATATATACGCCATAAGTAACATAAAAAATATAAAATGAAGAATAAAAAATTCTTTTTTCTAAATTAGAAAAAAATGACTACGCAGCATAAAGGATAAAGCACCATAGTGTTCCTTGAAATATTTAAAATTAGAAATACCAAAATATTCTTCAATAATTTATAAAAATTCATAGACAAAAAAATATCCACTTAGCCACTAATTCATTCCTCGGCTAAAATTTCTTATAAAATTGAAGCTCCTGAAACATAATAAAAAAAAAAAAAAAAAAAAAAATGAATTACACGAATATAATAAAGTTAAAAACACCATAGTGTTCCTCGAAATATTTTATATTAAAGTATCTAAATAACCATCACTCCTATAAAACTTATAAAAAAGATCTAATCCTCTTCTCAACTAATGCATACGAGTCATTTAGAGTAAGGATGAACTCAACAAAAATATATTTATAAAAAAAAACAATTTTTCTTTCCCAATAAACTCTTAATTTATATTAAAAAAAAAAAAAAAGACACAACAAAATTTATAATGGATATAGCAACGTAGTGTAAAATAAAAAATTGTTGACAAAACGTTGAATTCACTCTTAATACTTCCCTTAATACTATCCTCGCGCATCCTACATTCTAATTTACCACTTCCTGTTCAAGTGACAATTTTCACCGATACCGAAAGGCGCAGACGCCCTTCTTCGCGTGTATTCATTGCGCGTGACCGTGAAAATTATGCGAGAATCGAACGGAAATTCACGCCATCTCGATCTCCATCGCGGTCAATCCATCGAGGGATGGCCGAATTTCCGATCGCGTGACGTTCGATCAAGTCGGTTAAGTTTGCGAATGCGATCACACCGATATCTCTCGATAACGAAACGCTCGGTAACGGACGCATTGCGTTCGCGAATCGAGTTAATTACGTTAATTAAGGCTAAACGTTGACGTTGAGCACGTGATCGGGGGGTTAAAAAAACGAGGGAAAACATGTTAACGAGCTGCGTCGTCGAAATTAATCGCGTCACGCGATTTGTGGCCGATTCATTTCTTCGATTTTTATCAGCTGTACATTATTATATGTGTAATATACACATGAACATGTATACAGAGGAACGGTAACATCATCGATCGTAGCGATGGAATCGGAATATTTAATACAAAAATATTTAGTATAACAATATAACAGATATAAGAAATTTGTTACTCTTAATCCTCTTACTCTTAAAGCCTTTAAATATATCATACTGATATATTTTCTAAGTCTTGTTTGACAATTTGTACAGTTTCCCTTTAATTAATATAGTTTACGTTTCTCACTCCAGAACATTGATCAAAATTTGTTTCGAGAGAGCGTTATTTCTTCACTACTTTTATTATTGAAAAATTATTCCATCGCTATGTATCGTACGAAGACACGCAGAAACAAGAATATGAATATACCTATAAAAAAAAAAAAATATAAAACACGTGTCGTTATTATTATATTATGAATATTCCGCGACGCATTGTTTCGTAATATATTGTTGATTTCGTGTAATTATCGGCGATGCTATTACGTTATCCGAGGCACTCTGTGTCCAGAGATCCGTTCTATCCAATGTGATCAATCCCGAAGATGTTCATACCTTCGAGAAACGAGTGTGAAAAGGATAAAGGAGAAGAAGACTAAAATAGCGATAAGATCAATCGATTCGCAGGGGGAAAGAATTACAGGATGGAATTTTGAAGATCGAGATTTTTTTGGGGGCGGATCAACGAACTGGAAAGAAAGAAGGAGGAAAGAAAAGGATCATTTGGCTAGTCTTGGCCGTTCCAAGAAGAAGAAGAAGAAGAAAAAAAAAACGCGCACACATTCATTTCACATTCGCATAAAGAACAAAAGATTGTTTGTTAATACGAGGGAGGAAAAGGAAGGCTCGTTTCTCTGCCCTCAGAAGTAATCGAGCATTCATTTCCGCTGAAACATTGGGACCTGGTATGTCTTATCCGTGTCATTGTTTCATTTCGAAAGCGTTGTTTCGCGGCCACTCCGAAACGCGAAACGGGACCAAAGAAACAAAAAAAAAAAAAAAAAAAAAGAAGAAAAAAAAGACACAAAACAAAACATTCTCATTCCCCTTCCGTCTTCTATCCTCTTTTCTGGCCGCCTCCACGAAGAATTTCTCTTTCTTTTTTTCTAACCGATACGTTCCTATCTTCTTCTTAGACCTAAGATCCTATGTTACCTTACGTAATCCTCCACTTCCTTTTTCTCCATTCTTCTATTTTATCCTCTGTTCTCCTATTCATGCCTATCTTTTTTCCTATTTCTGTCTCTCTTTTTCTACTTCTCTGTCGCGGCTCAACGATATTTTCCTGGACACGACGACTCCACACGATATTTTTATATAGATTTCTTAAAAGTGCATTATAGTGCCAGAAAGACCACGCCAAGTTTAAGAGGAAAAAATATATATAAAAACGAAAAAAAATTAAGAATACACATGCAGTCTCAATATTATTGATGCATTAGACAGATAGGAGACCGAGATTCTATTAAGTATTATAATGTATGAAACACGGGCTCTTGTATGGATGGGTGATCATCGAGATCGACGAGACGGCGCATTGGTCATGGGGTACACGTATGAGACAGGTTCAATGGAATGGAATGATCGAAGAATTAATATCGATACTTATTCAAAGATTGAAGATCGAGATACATTACTCCATTCCAAGAAACTTGCGTGAGAATCGAGAATTTTCAATTGAGAATTCTCGAGAGATTGTTTCGCGCTGTGTCGTTCGCTGACAAAATCAAGAGTATCGAATTAAAATTAGACCGGCGAGCATAGGATTGTAAATCGTGAAGTAGCCTCCTACTAGTAGACACATCGAGCAGAGCAGATAAAGAATCGTGAAGACGAGGGTTCAATCCATAGTATCTTTGAAATGATATTCTTTAAACAATGCCGTTTTTTTTTCAAGCTGCCACAGAGAAAAAGGAAGAAAATGTTATTACATGTTGCTTCGTCCAATCATTCGTAATCGTTAACATCCTTTTTTGAAAACTATATTGCACATTACCGAGGAGAATATGGGATACAAGATCCTTCCACGATTTTGTTTCAACGAGAAATACCTCTCCAAAAATCGAACGACCTAACGTCTGAAATATAACAATAATCGAGTTAACAAAAGGATAATAAAGAGGGAACAGAGGAAGGGTACAAAAGAATCAAAGAAATGAATTTCTTGCGAGAAGCAGGTAGACATATCCTCATAACAAAGGTTCGTTTTCGTAAGAAGAGTGGATAGAAAAAAAGAAGAAGAAGAAAAAAAGTGGAAACATAAAGAAGAATCGTCCCAGCGTGATAATCAATGAAAAGGACCTTAAATCGGCGATCTATATATTGCCCGAGTGAAATTGTTTCATTCGATGACTCTTCTTCATACGTTCATACACACAAATAACTATACCGCGTGTGCATATAGGACGAATTCACTTTTGTCGTCATCCGAAATATTTTCGTTATTTTGAACAATATTGACGAAAATAGCTTAGCCTGACGAGTACTGTTTAAAAAAAAAAATGAAACGATCGACAAGGATCCTAGTCTTTCTTTTTCTCTAAAATAGAAAATTTTTTAATCGCTTTAATACTTTTAATCGAGGGATTAATCGTTCGAACGACTATTTCGATCGTATTGGTCAGAGTAACACGAAATATTTTCAAAGTGCTGACAAAGTGCTCCTACCCCGTCGCAAATATGCCGAGATTGATTTGTATGTTTATACCTGTAAATATGTGTATACTATATTGTGTAATATACACGATATTATAGTATATAGTGTATATATATACATATATATATATATATCGAAACGTGTATTATGGCCTTTGTTTCATGCAGAGTTTATATACGTACGTTTTAAGGAAACGAGGAGGGCGCTTTTGTGTTCAGGGGCGCGCAAGTCTCCGACATACACGAACGTGTAAAAAAAAAAAAAAAAAAAAAAAGGATCGTCGTCAAATTTTGCGCCCGTAAAGAGTGTCTCGTGAATGTTTAAATGTTGTGTACTTTACATGTGTACATATGTATTTTGTACGTTCGATGAGCTCGAGAATAATTGGGCGCAAAGTGTGATCGAATCCCCTGCGAGAAGATTTTTGAGGGTGGTTCTCCCCTGTTGTGCGACGTTGATGATAATTCCTTGCGTGTCGAAATTTTTGGATATTGATCGAGTGGAATAATGCAAACGAAAAAT